TCTCCTGAAATAATTAAATTCACATGTTTATTTTCATCCAATTAATTCAATCACCCAATTATATTAAATTAGTTCTAATTTATTTACCTGGAAATCAAATAATTTGCTGCTTCATATGCAGTTAGATACTAATTTTGACCATCCATCGTCAGATCACAGCCAAAGCATACCATATATACTGTCAAATATATGCATCCGTACAATTGAACTTTTCTGTTATTTTCAAACATATGGATCTGTAAGAGTTATGTGATAGAATTAATGATATATTTTTTAAAATACAAAACCTACAAGCTTGTACTGCCACACCACAGGTAATGATACATATAGTGGAGTTGGGTGATATGGAAAAGCAATAAATATTTTTCCTTTTTTTATACAACTAAAAATATTTTTCCTTATTCAAATGAATTATTAGTTTTTCACTTCGTCAAATTGAGCTTGATTTCTCTTCCAAGACGGTTTTTTTTTTTTGGTGTAAAACAATAAAAAGCATCAACTTGGGTTCAGCACAAAATTCATATATTTTTTTCTTGCTGATTAATTATTCCAACTAATTTACACAATTTAGACTTATTTAGAATGGTTTGACAAAAAAAAAAGGACTTATTTTAGAATGGGTTTTTATTTTTTGATAAAGAAATTAGTTGTGTACGGTCTGAATTAATTGAAGGGTCAAGATTGACTGGAAACAAATAATATTTATTCAATTTACACAATTTAGACTTATTTAGAATAGTTTGACAAAAAAAAAGAGACTTATTTAGAATGGGTTTGTATTTTTTGATAAACAAATTAATTGTGTACGGTCTGAATTAATTGAAGGGTCAAGATTGGCTCGAAACAATAATATTTTATTAAAAAAGTTAGAAAACTGGGAAATTTGGTCCAAAGTCCTTATTTGAAAATTTAATTAGCTAAAAGAACCTAAATTTCAATGAGTGCAACTATAATCTGTAAGTGTAACTTTTCTTCCGTTATATGCAACATATCATCAATGATGTGCAATAATTATCAATACAAAAATCATTTATACACAACGAAAGAAAAGTTACATTCACATATCATAATTGCATGCACTCAAATTTAGGTTTTTTTAGCCAATTAATTTTTCCAACAGAGATTTTTTAACCAAATTTCCCTCAAAAATTTACACACACACATTCGGCAAAACAAAATCAAAGGCTAATCATTCATGTCCTAATATATTGAAAAGTGAATTATTTTTTCCTTCTTATTTCTTAAGATGCCTTCTTTTTATACAGCTTCTCAGCTTCTCTCTGTTTTTTTTTTAATAATAATTGTCCCTATCATGGATTTTTAAGAATTCAAGTGGCTAATATATAATTTCATAAAATATAAAATTCTAATAACTCACACTGATAATTCATTTCTCATACTTTATGCAATTTGAAAATGCAAATCGAAATCTTTTTTATTTTCCTTTTTTTTTTCCCCCAGTTATATAAGAAAGCTTGAACCTCACCATCTATTAATATCCCACCCAAACTTATCGATGACTTAAGGTTTCTAAGGGATATCATCATCAGCTCACCAAGTTTGTCTCATTGCATGAATCAAAAATTTAAAAATCCTTGTGAATGGAGCTTGTTGAATAATCACATGTTCAAGAAAAATAAGATAATGAAAACCAAAAGAAAAAAGGACCTTTTTTTCGTTGTTTTAACTAAGAATCCACAAAACAACAAATCATTAAGATCATGAGAAAAATCCCTTTGAGAAAAACAACATTTGAGGAAACCTACTGGAAGATTCAAATTCTAAGAAGCAATATATAATAATTTAGAGAGAGAGAGGGTTTGAAGCTTACGTAATTGTTCGTTGTTATCTGCAGGAAAAAACGAAGGGAGAGAGAAGAAATGCAAACGCAGAAGGAGCCTTTTGATTCTTCTTTGTTTTATAATTTAGAATGCGAAATTTCATTAGATAGTTAAGTAATTAATCAGAATGATCAGATGTTGAGCCTCTTAGAATTTCCAGAGGTAATTAGAATCCAAAATTTGTGGTGGTCTCATGCAGAATGAATCCATTGGCATGCCTGAAATATTGGAGAAGGACAGGCTTCTGCTACTCTACTCTTTTAAAGTTTTCCCATCAATTTATTATTATTTTTTCCCCTTTTTCCAATTAAGGAAAAATGGCTCAAATGAAATTCCATTCCAAATTTTTTGGCCAGTAAATTTAAGTTTCTCTGAAAGGTTTGGAGTACATATTTGACATATTCCATTCTTCCACTAAGACAATTCATTGTGCCTTGGCACTGTCTTAAATTAAATATGCTTGAATCAACATCAAGTTTAGTCTATCCCCATCTAATACTTATTCCTTCTTCCTGAAATTTCAGAAAATGCTGCTTTGATTTATTCCCCTAATAATGCTCACAAATGATGTTTTTATGGTGGTCGTTGTCGCCGTATGGTATAACGGTTTGTGCCAACATAAGAAAAATAATTACATTTTAAGATTCCAAAATTTTAAATTGTCGATTAAAGATTTTGGTTCCTTACTGACATTTAAAAAAAATAAAAAAAAGCCCTCTGCTCGCATAGAGTTTACAAATCCAAGAAGCTTGAATCGAAATCTCCAATAGGAGAGTTAGAAATGTTAGAATTTAGAAATCTCATCCGAAATTATTTTCATATAAATTACTCAACAACAAACAATATATGCAATCTGAGAATGCCAGAATAAACAATGAAAAAGAAAAAAATTGCCCAATTGAAATTAAACAATTCCAACAAAGACATATATTCTTAAGTTTATTCCCCTAGACCAATTTGTTTACCACAATCCTCAAGTTGCCAGCGCCCAATACAAATTCAAATTCTCGTATTTTCCCACGTCACTTTCTTCTTTTTATCAAACATATGCGACTTTGTTGGTCGCCCCACTCAACATGGAAGGTATTCCCAACTGGAACAAAACCAGAATATGCTAATTAATACATGCCAATAAAAGCACATTTCATAAATAAAGTATAAAAGGTGACACCAAGAACAAAAGGAAGCAAACTTGGGAAGAAAATCTGCACATGTTTCAACGTTTTTCTCCCACTTCTATTTTATGTAAAAATAAGTAATGACACAACCAAAGAGAGAGTAAAGCCTAAAAGAAGAAAGAAGAAATAAAAGAGACAGCAAGAAAAGTGGCGCGTGACCCTGCAAAAGCATGGATTGAAAATGACATCTAACGGCTAAAACTTGAACTGAACATCATCAACAAAAAACTCATGTCCTGCTTCAGACTTAGCTTGAGAATCCCATGATGTTCTTCCTTCCACTCTTTTTACAGTGTTGCACATCCACCCACCTGCTTTTTTGGAATCTTGAACACTCCATCCAGAAACTCATTAACATGAACAATACTTAATACTATTTACAATTACAGTGCAAGCCCTAGATGATCAAATTTCATAACAAGTCTGTACACACCATTATATCCCGGGGGTAAAAAAGTAAAGTTGATATACCCCCATCAAAGAATTTTTGATTATGACCTGAAAAAATATCATCTTGCTTCTGTTTCTCCGTTCATCTTGGACCAGAGAGTTCCATGGCATAGGAATCCAAAGAATGTACATCATCATCATCATCCACTGCCATGCCAAACATGTGGGAACGATCATGAGCGTGGTCATCATGTTTTGAATTTGGCGCAGTGGTGGTAGGACGGGATGATGAACTGTTGTTGCTGTTGCTGTGAAAGGAGTTCATGCTAAGGCCACCATGATTATGTGATGCCGCCCATTTCTCTGCGAGGCCATCGCCTTCGAGCATCCGGACCACTTCAGACATTTTAGGGCGGTGGGCTGGCAAATATTGAGTACAGAGTAAAGCTACTTGTAACATCTCTCCCACCTCTATCCAGTCACAGTGACTACCTAGCCCTTTGTCTACCAATACTTCAAGTTTCTTTTCATGCTGTATTTTCTTAACCTGTCAAGACATACAGACAACATTAATCTCCCGTCTCAGCATTGATATTGCTTTTTTAGGCAATCATCAGATAACAATTTCAAGGAGAACAAACTTGACAGGTGACCTTCTTCAACTACACAACTTTCACAAACTGACATGAGGAACATCAATGATTTAGAGATATAAAAAGCCATGTGACACAAAACTTTACAAGTCAGACATGATAACAATCCGAGATATCTTCTTGCTTTGTGAAAAACATTTTAATTCAAACCCCCAAGTTGTATCCCAATTTAGACACAAACATGAAATCATGTGTGTTCAGGGAAATTCAAATTAGTATATGGGCTAGTAATTTGTCTTGTCAAAAACCCCAAAATAATGGAATTAAATCAACAGTTTCACGTTGCAGAATAAACTTACCCACTCCAGGATAGCGCCCTTTTGATTAACTGTTTTCCCAAACTCAAGGGCTGTCATTCCAGTCATAAGCTCTAACAACAGAATGCCAAATCCAAATACATCAGTTTTCTCTGAAGATTGGCCAGTGGAGAGGTATTCTGGTGCAATGTGGCCCACGGTGCCACGGACAGCAGTTGTGACATGAGAGACATCATGGTCAAGGAGTTTTGCAAGCCCAAAATCACCTACAACAGCCTCAAAATAGTCATCCAGAAGCACATTAGCAGCCTTTACATCTCTGTGTATTATCTTTGGATCACATTGCTCATGAAGATATAGAAGACCTCTCGCGGCTCCAATGGCTATCCTCTTTCTTGTGTTCCAATCCAAAGAAGGTTTGCCTACAAGTTATGCATTACAAGTTAATTGCTGAGGAATGTCTTGTCATAAACAAAATATTGAAGGCGAACAAAATGAGGCTAGTGAGGTTCTATAGGAAATAGCTTTCCACACGTCACTCCTTAGAACTGGTTTCTAACATCACTTGTTAATTGCCAGAGGTTCACAAATTATCTTCGAAATCAACTAGGAATTGAAACTACATTGCCCAGTGTGTCAAGAAACAGTCAGGTCAAAGATATAGATATATAATTGATGACAAATTCTCGGTCAAACAGAGGAATACTAAAATAGCGATCACCAACATACGATCACACAATCTTCATAAGAAACACCAGTTGTGTGAAGAAAACATTACCAACCTCTAAGCCTCGAAGCCACACTGCCATTAGACATATAAGGATAAACCAGAAGCTTTTCATTAGGTGTAGCACAAAATCCAATCAAACGAAGTAAATTACGGTGAACTGCCAAGCTGATCAACTCCAGTTCTGTTCGAAACTGCAATTCACCAGCACCTCCACTTACATCCTTCAGCCTTTTCACTGCCACCATTGTCCCATCTCCAAGCCTCCCCTGATAAACATTGCCAAAACCTCCCGCACCAAGTATGTTCCTGGAGTTGAAATTATCTGTTGCATGTTGGAGCTCTCTAAAAGTAAAACTTTTGAGATTTCCCAATCTAACAAGCCCCTCTTCTTGACAATCTGCAATAACACCAGCATACGGCTATTATTACAGCTTCTTTACCTAGCAATAAAGAACTGTCGTTCAAGCTTTACTTACCATTGATGTGTAGGATGGCTTGGGTCTGCAGTCTCTTCCTGTACCATAAGATCCCAAAAGACAGGAGTATGATGCTAGCAAAGCTGAGACTGACTCCAAGTGCAATTGCTAGCTTCTTGGACTTGTGATTTCCTGCAAAGAGAAAATCTATGTTGGTTACGAACCCGTGGTGCCGAATAATAAAAGAGGATGTAAAAGGATGAATGTACAATTTTTTTTCCGAAGAAAAAAGGCTACCTTGTGACAGTGTTAGAGTGAAAGGAGCAGGTGTGAGGGTTGCTGATCGATAGCAACCTTCAGTAGAACTGCTTCCACAAATTAAGGGATTTCCCACGACGCTGCATGAATAACAGTGAACCATAACAAAAACCTCAGGCCAAACGGAAATTATTAAATTCTTAAATTAAATTAAATAATAGAACATCAAAGAAAGACCCATTAGTACAGAAAGGAAAATGAAAGAGACGACACACTTGAATGTTCTGGCTGGAGACGCGGGTAATGGTCCACTGAGATTGTTGTAAGACAAGTCTCTGTATGAAATAGGACTAGTATATCAGCGTCTCGACAAAAAGCAAAAGACAGAAAAATCTTGACAAACTGGGAAGAATTCAGCGAGAAGCAAGTTTGTTGAATTTCCGAGACATTTGGACGTGAGAATGTAAACAAACAAGTTGTGACAGAATAACTGAGAAACCGATACTCACAAGAAAGAAAGCTGCGGGATTTTGGACAGTGACACAGGAAATGGGCCAGATAGACTATTGTTGTTCAGCCTCCTACTCTCGTTTTGGACCAAGAAAACAAAGCATTACATTAGAACATGTGAAGCGAAAATCAACCATCAAAGAAAAGATATATTCACTTCATTCCTGCTCAAATACACGAGAACAAACTCTTCACCGAATAAAACTAAAAGAAGAAATTCAGCAGCAAATGATACATTAGAAACAATTAAGTTACACAGAGAAAGGATAGCACGATCTCATGTAGGTAAACAGCTACAATGCGAATAGCGTTTAACAAACTTTTATTAAGAATAAAGAACAAGAGATTTGAAAATTACTTACAAGTACTGGAGACTATTCAGCCGACTCATAGACCCTGGAATCGCCCCAGTGAATCCATTATTGGAAAGATCAAGAGTTTGAAGCTTAGGAAGGGCACCAAGCTCAGGTGGGATTTTGCCAGAGATATTGTTGTTCTGCAGTAAACTATAATAAACCAACAAAGCAGAATAAAATTTTAAAAAAATGGATTTCAGTAATCAGTCAGAAATGAAAAATATGACATGGTTTCCCAGATAGCGACTTGAGAGCTTCATGGCTGGTAGGTGGCAAAGGTTTGTAGAAATGGAAAAGAAACCAGAACAAGACACAGCAAACGAAGTAACGAAAATAAACTATGGTTCCATGTTCCTTACACTTGTCGAAGATTTGTCAGATTTGCGATTGCTCCTGATAGAGTTCCAGAAAGAGACTGGCTAGGAGCTCCCCTGCAAAACCCAAAAATATTGGAATTTCAAACGTGTGATCATAGCCCAACTGCAAGAGGATGAGGAGTAGGAGGAGGAGAACTCACAGGCCTATGACAAGTGAATCAGCAGAACAGGTGATCATAGCCCAACTGCAAGGGTCCACCGAGTTCTCATCCCAGTTGCTTAAAACTCCATGCGGGTCAGTCAGAGCATTTCTTATGCTCATCAAAGCCTCCACTGCAAAATAAATAGTTGAATCCCGAATAAAAGAAGTTTAGCACAAAGCACGGAGATTAAGGAGAGAGCAAACTAAACAAACCTTCATGGTTGCGAGGCTCGGAAGAGAAACAAAGTCCAGCACAGGAGAGGAAGAAGAGGAGAAGAAGAAGCAGAACAGCCGAACCGAAAGGCATAATTAAGGAACAAAGGTGGTGGGCATAAGCTCACAAAGCCGCTAAAGCAGAACTCACATAAACAAAGGCCACAACGATTATCCGAGCGCGGTTTTCTTCTTTTTGACAGTGTGTCCTTCCTTAGGTTGCTGCTCCTCTCTTGTGCTTTCTTGGACCTCTCAAACGGCCTTTTTCAGTCACCACCCCCTCTGCCTTTTTCAACAATCTGCACAAAAGAAAGGAGAGAAGGAAAAAAGAAAAGAAAAGAAAAATAAGCGAATCAGGTGGGTGATACGAGTTGTCAGAGATGGCTAGTGCTAGTGTGCGCAGAATTTGAGAGAGAGAGACGTGACTGAGGGAGTGGGTACTCCTCAGATAGAGAGAGAGAGAGAGAGACGTACCAGTTGGACTCACTGCTTCTCCCATGACCATACCATATACTACTGCCTCTTTATATCTTCTCCTCTGCTCTTGCACAAGCCAGAACACAAGACAGAGGCACACGGGAATCAAAACGTCCATCAGAGGTTGATAACACACTAAAGGGGAGCATTTTGCTAGCACTGCATCTGCATTGATTTTGATAGCCTAAGACAATACTCTGATACCCTCTACTCAGCCCTCCAAGGCATCCTCATCATTTTGTTGTCTTTTACGAGGTCTTATCTATCTTTTCCAGCCCATGCCAAAGTGCTCCTACTAGTAAACACGCAAGAAGTTCCCTTAATCATTTCATTAATTGATTAATAAGCATTATCTATCTTCCAGTGTGCTCTTTTGGGGGAATGCAAGTCATTACTAGGTATTATTATCATTGCAATAATCTGAACCCGAAGTACTTGTGAGTTGGGAAAAGAACGAGGAAAAGTTTAACCATGGGGAAAAAGAGAAAGTGGGGGGTTACTTTTTTGATTCAGTGTTTTTTTATATGGTTTCTCCGTTCTTTCTCGACTTTTGATTCGTTTCTTCCGTTTTTTTTTTAATTTAGTTAGAGGGTAGATCAGTTTTCGGAATCTCTTTTGGTTTTAAAATAGATCTTTGTTCGGGACTTTCGAGGGGTTTAGACTAACACTACAAAATATTCCCACTGACTAAAACGGGACCATGACGCTGGTGTGATTTTGAATCAACACCAGAAAAAAATTCCCTTTCCAGTTATGAATAATATTTTAACCTTTAAAGTTTGATGCGAATGGCTTTGTTTTTTTAAAACCAATTAATCTATCGCTTTAAGATACTTTCTAGAAGCAAATACCTATTCAGGGGCACTACATCACCATGCCTCTATCCCTATTTCGGTCCATAGGCAAATGCTGCTCCATTATGAGTAGTTATGGACGAAATTTAAATTGTAAGGATATACTTGTATGAATTAGGATATGAACTCTCACTCTCTCTCTCTGTTTTTTTTTTCCTTTTAATGTTTGTATTCTCTCCTTGCCTATTGGGATGTGCTAGAACGGTAAATTTTTCAGAAACAAAAGCTTAAAAAATTGAAGTGTGCCCGTGTGTTTTAGATTTATACAAGACTTGACAAGACTATGAGAAGAATGCTACGAAATGCGGATCTAATTAGTGAAAAATTGACTTATAAGATTATAAGATTGCGAACTCACATACCGATGTTCATATAAAAATATTATTAATAGGTAATTTACAAGTAATTTTTCAACCTCAAAACATGTTCTGATTTTAACGGGGAGTTGTTTGGATGGAATCAAAACTATGATTTTAAAAGTATTTTTATAGTGTACGAAGTAAATATATAGAGTAATTTATTTTATCTTGCGAAAAATATTTCTAAAAAACACTTTTGAGTGTTTTCAAACACTCTCAAAGTTTTCATTACCCAACTCAGTTTCATGCCGAGTGTCACCTGGTTTTTGTCGATTTTTTAATGAGTTTTCATAACCCAACTCAGTTTCGTGCTGAGTGTCGCCTGGTTTTTGTCCAGGTGCAAATCTCTACTCTCAATTTTCTTGCATCTAAATCCAGTGGCTGATTTTCTCTACTAATGAAATGACGTGGTGATTTTTGACCAAAAAAAAAAGGAAAAACCATATTGGAGGTACCTGTATTTTTTTTTAATTTTCAATTTGGTACCTATGTATTTTTTGTTCTTAACTAAATCTTTAATTTTGCTCAATTAACATCATTAATCCTTATATAAAGACTAAAAATGCCAATAGAACAAAGTTATAAGAGCTAATGTTGCTAAAAAAAATAAAATTAAATGTTTAATTAAGAGAAGAAAACACATAGGTACCACATTAAAAATTGAGAAAAAGTAGAGGTACCTATAATATGCTTTTCCCAAAAAAAAAAACAAAAGAAATGACGTGGTGATTATCAGCTGCCGGATAAACACAGCAAAATGAACGGTGGGGATATGAAGCATGACGCAAACCAGAGGCAGGAGACACTCAGCATTCCGATCCCGAGGAGAGAGGCTTCCCGTAACTAAACTCGGAGCGATTGGGAATGCAAGCGTGGTTCTATAATTGGAAGGTAAGATTCAATGCGAAGCAAAACACTTGCCGGCAAAAGAAACAACACTTAGGTAAACATTACTTCCAATATTGCTTTTATTATTTTATTGAAATATATTGGGAAAATTTTTAAAAACTTATAGTTAAAGTTTGAAAAACCAAACAAATCACATGACTTTGAAAATTTTCAAATTAGTCAATAGTCATAATGACTAAATTGAAATTTTAAAATCTTAACAAATTTAGAATGTTACCCATTTATTTTTGGAAAAACAAAAACCTTAATTCTCCATCACTAGTCCACCACCAAAGTTCTCACATTGGCAGTGATCAATGATTACTCAACTTTTATTTTTGGGATTTTTTTTTAGTATTCATAAAGTTGTTAGCAATTTTTATACTAATATTCATAATTTTATTAACATAACATGTTTGCTGGTCAAAAAAAAAACCTAACATGTTTTTCAGATCAATATTTTCTTAGTATTCACAACTCTATTAATGTTATTAATCACATAATAATTTTAAAACGTGTCCTATAATATGATTAATAGCGTTAGTAAAGTTATCAATATCATTATTAGAGTTCACAACCATGTTACAAGTTTTTAAAAAAATCTCAATTTAAAATTTGAAAAATGTGTGGTAAATAACATTAATGGAGTTGTGAGTTGTGTTAAAAGAATTGTTAATCATGTTATGAATGTTGTAAAAATTCCATAAGGTTAGGTACTAACTAATTTCTTAAAGTTTAAATTTAAAAACCTACTGTATAAAGGGGTTAATGTTGTTAATAGAAGTATAAACATTGTTATAAGAGTCAACAACCAAATTAAAAATGTTAAAAAAAATCTAAATTTAAAAACTTAAAAATGATCTTGTTAATAACGTTAATGAAATTGAGAACATTGTTATAAAAATTATCAATCAAGTTAAAAATTTTAAAAAATTTTAAAAAATATTTATTGGTTGTTGGAGTTCCAGTAGCCAATTAGACAGTGAGGATGAATTGAAATTTTTGTTTTTTAAAATAAATAGCAATATTTTAAAATTTTAATTAAATTATTATGACTAATTTAGAATTTCTCCCATTCGGTGACCTTTTAAAGTTTTTAAAATTTAACTATCATTTTTTTAAAATTTTTCCAAGTATATTCCACAAATAAATTTTAAATAATCATATTTATTGGGTTAAATTGCATAAGATTAAACTTCATTTAAAACAAATAACCTCTTTCACCTTTAAAATTTAATAATCAACCCCTTAAATTTCCATGTAGTGGGTGCTGTTTCATAATCAGTGTAATAACATTGATTGGTCAACATATGATCCATGGAAGGTGCCAAAGTGTGGCCACCCAACAATAACAGGTATTTGGCATAACTAAGTTGGTCCATGACAACGATATCAGAATTGAAAATCTGATTAAGTTAGGATTGTGTTTATTGCTTCCTCCCCACATGCCATTTCCTGATTCAATATTCAAGTTAAGTTGTAATCCCACTTATGTTTTTATAAGCATTTTTTTCACCACTCATGAGTTGTTGCTCCATTGAAGTGGAGCTCAGCGCAAATTTAAAAAAAAAAAAGTTGGGGCAAATAAATTCGGTTCAATCTGAATATTTTTAGGCTGTAATAAAAATAATTCTCATCTTATTAAACTTTTTAATTAAGGCAAAAAAAAAAAAAAGAGGTTTTGAGTTCAGTCAAGGATAAGGTTTTCCAATTTTTTTTTTTTTTGAAATGATGATGTTTGATGGCCTTGTAACTTGGCAGCATAAAAACTTGGGATGTTGTAAGTTCAACCTTAAGTATGTTAATATCTATCTTTTTAACTCTACATGCTAATAGTTACTCCTCCGGTCCTTAACATAGGATTCAATTGTTAAGTTGGTTTTGGTCCAAAATATAAACATATTTTTCATATTTATCAATTTTCTTTAAATTACCTCAATGGATACTCCCTCAATCATAATCAAGTAGAAGGGGGAGATGAGATATTAAGAAAGATGATTATGGTGTTTTAGGAAAATCGTGTCACATTTCTTATAATTAACTAACTTATCTAACTTTTTTAATCTAATCAAATTAGTTAAATGGGTCTTATATTAAGGACCAGAGGAGTATTTTGTAATTTGAATTATTTTGTAATTTTGAAAGGGTTAAGTTATATTTAATACTCTAAAGTAATTTTCTAACATTATTTAGAATCTTAAAATATTTTTTAAATAATTTTATATGCATTCAATACTTTAAAATATTTTTTTAATAATACTCAGTATCTGAGTTTAGAATGTTAAATAAAGTATAAATTAGTTTAAACATAAAAATATTTTAAGATGAAAGATGTGTTCCAATCAATTTTGAGAAGTAATATATAAATGAATATATGGCTCATAATTATCTTAAATCACTTGCAGCAATCTAAATTACGGGAATCATCAATCCTCTTGGATCCAAAATCTTTCTTATTGGGGTGCAGTTATTCTTCTCGCATGCGTCAACAATTTGATTCTCCTTCTTCCTCCACGTACCCTATCACCCCCCCCCCCCCCTTTTCTTTTTGCAAAAGAAATTGCCTTCCTTTATTTCTTATCTTTTACTTGAAAAGCTTCCTTCACCCAAGCATTTCTGAGCTGGGGAAAGAGAAACGCGACCCACTGGCCACTACCCCAAACAAGCCCAAAAAGAGATACTCTCAGAATTTTTTTTTTTAAATTTTCTTCTCAAAATCTCATCTTTTTCGTTAAATCAAATAATGAATAATTCATATTTCATATTTTATAAAATTAATATCATACTGTTATATAAATAGAAGAGAAAAGATAGATACTCATTTTTTAAAAATATTAAATCTGAACCATTTATTTTTTAATTCAACAACACAGATAAAATTATAGGAGAAAAAGAGATTCTAAAAGCATCAGACCCATGCAAGCCATTCTTTGATATTTCCCACTTTTAGATATCACTTCAAATTGCAGGTTCCATTCCAAATATA